AATCAGAGTAGCTGGAGAGCAGCGCAAAGTAACATCAGGGTAGAGGGAGGACTCAAAGGCAAGCTGTCTCAGTCCCACCTCTGGGGACCCAAGAGGAGAAAAGGGAGGTGTGGGGGCAGAGTGTGATAGCTGTTGGGGGAAACCACACACCCTCTCTGGAAACAGGAAGAAGTCAGAGGCAGGGCTTCTCCTCTGTCTCATCTAGAGTCCCTAGACAGATGAGTGACTCCCCAGGCAAGGACCAATCCCCATGCAGTGGCTTCCAGGCAGCCTGAGGGAACAGGCAGCCTTGGCTGTGACACCTTATCTATGCATCCTGCAGGGTGCTCAGACGTGACCCTTTTTACAGTGATGCTGCCTTGGAGTCCAGGTATGACCCCGGAAGGAGTCCCCCACCTGTGTCAGGGAAGGCGAGGAACTCAGGACTCCAGAGCCCCAAGTGGATTCTTGACCTTCCAGGAAAGGTGCCTTGGCGGCACCACTTGTCAAGACAAATAGCATAAATATACAGCTACTTTCTCTTAGTTCAACGAGAAGAAGGTTTTGAACGAATAGTGTTTAGACAAGATATCATGTCTGCATCTTGTACTAGGAATAACTACTACAAAGACAACAATATGCAATGTGTTAATTATAACTGTAGTACTAACCTGTTTTGAAACTATCTCATTGCTACTTCTTTCTCAATAAAATTATTAAAATAAAAAATATTTTAAAAAGGATGTATCTCTACTGTCACTGGTTGATAGGGGCAAACAGAACCCAGATCCATATAGACTGATCTCAGAAAACTGACAATAGAAATATGGCAGTGGTGGATAATCTTAGCGAACCTTGTCTTTTATTTCTCCTGAAATTCAGGCAGCTTGTTATTTCTGTCTGTGAGGCTGAGACCCAAGTTTTTCAGCCCTCATCACTCAAGTGACTACTGCCAGCTTGAACTTAGCTCCCTGCTGGCTTAACTTTGGCTAGGCCCCATCCTAACATTTGGAGCACTAGATGGGCCACCTCACAGCTTCTCTCAATTCTGACTCCTGTTGGCCCTTTTCTAAAATAGCTACTGGTCAATCACCCTCTCCTTCATGAAGAGGGTCTGGGCCTGTATAACTTACCAGTTGAAGCATCCACCA